AGACTTTACCCTAAACATTTAGATGTTGGTTAAGACACTTTTCGTTATATTGATGTTAGGCTAGGATTATGATGTTGGGTAATATTTTCAACAACTTTGGTTATATTTCTCAGTTGGATTGTTTTTTATAGTCAAGCATTGTCTGTCGATGTTTAATATGCATGTTATAGTTCTCGGTTGGTCTTCAGCAGGGAGTCATGTTATATATATGCACACACATAGATACAAAAAAAAGGGGGAGCTTGTGATGATTTACACGCTAACTTTTGATTGCAGGTGTTGTTTAACTCCCCCACTAAGCATGGCTTGGACACGATGCACGTAAATAGCCTTTTGATCTAACATATTTTCGTGTAGGTTAAGGTTTTTTAAATATTTCTATGTACTTTTTAGATTTCTTATGAGAATCTTGTAGCAGAAATAAGATACAAACACAAATTTTGAAGTGTTTTGGCCTGGAAATCATGTGGCTGGGGACTAGGAGCAGCAACTCATGTCCCGTATCTTAATTTCGTATTTGATATTGATGTATAGATTTATGACTGAGAATGTATTTGTGGAGTTTGACTGTATTTTTCTTTTCTAGAATATGTTATGAACCCAACAACATTTATCTTTTCTTATTGTTTTGATTTGGCTCGTTTTTTATGTTTTTTATTGCACATTTGCATGCTTAAAATGAATTTCACAATTTATTTATGTGGTTTGTCTGGTAATCACCAATGCAATATAGGCTCTTTAGGATTTATAGGTTTCGATTGCCTAGTTTAAACCTCAATTGCCCCAAGCATTGCTTTGTGCGCAATCTGTCTATTTCAAGAAGTTGATGTATCAGTCAAATGAGAAGGGCTGGTGAGGAATTGCTAAGTGGAAGGTCAAATTTGGTGTGTTGACAATAGGAAGTTGATAAATGGGTGCTCAGGTAGCTTCCATGGCAAGAATCCATGGGGAGAAATGGAGTCATTGTAGTTGGTCAAGGTCAGAGGAAAGATGCATTGAGAGGTTGTCAAATAAGATGATCAGAATTGGTGTGTCGCCGATAGGAACGTGCCATGTTTGTGCTCGGGTAGGCTTCAACAAAGTCTGTAGAAGTGAGCCAAGCTTGCCTTGAGCTGATTGGGTTGAATGAATATTGTGTTATCCAATAGAGCGTCATTAGGTTGATTTGTGGATCTTAAATGTGGGCTTGAGATTGACCTTAAGGTTTGGAGTTTTAAGTTATCAAAAAGTGGATTGGCTTTTTCACAAATTTATTACACTTTTAAAATTAATTAATGTGTTGAATTAGTTATGGATTTTTATAATTTATTTCATTTGATTTATATAAATTTTACGTGATCTGATCTGCATTCTAATGTTAATTTTATTATTATTATTATTTGATGAGTTTGAATGTGATTTATGCGATTATTGTTATTTTATTATTAAAATTTTTAAAGATTTTATTTAAATTTATTTTATGACTTTTAACTTTATTAATTTTAAATTTTATATTTGTATTTTGAATTAAGAGAATTTGTTTTAAACTTGTTGTATTTAATTTTAATATTAATCATGTTTTACATTTTTTTTAAATTAAATCAATCATGATTAAAAATGAACACTAAACCAAGCACGTTCTCCTCAGACAATGGAAAGAGCTGGAATTGGACTTTCAAAAATATTTGAAAGGATTGAAGAATGCCAAAGTAAAAAATCTATGTCTCTAATGCCAATGGGCTGCTTAAAGGCATATCCAACCGTATGGAAACTCAAATTCAAACCTAATAACCTAGCTCCAATCAACTTAACATAAAAAGTACTAAGAATTAAAATCAAGCATACAAAACCAAAGGAGTGAATATTTGGTTTGGATTATAGTTTAGGGTTTCAACCACTCTCTAGTCTTCTATGGTAACCTTTGAGAAGTACTTATAGTTATATCCCATGTTGTAAGGAGAGAGGAAGAGAGAGATAGACATTATCAAAACATGAAGTCAATGGAGACAAATGATTTTGTAGGAGGAAGCTCCCAAAACAGGGTCTAATTCTTTCCACTTGATTTGAGAGAAAATATCTTACATGGCAAAACAATATTATGGTAAATGTTTAGTGCCTTGTAAATCTATAATATTTTAATTTTATACCGTACCAAACATTTTTAATTCTTGATTTTTATGTATTTATTTTATAAGGCACCATTAAACAACCAACCAAAGACCTGTTTGAGTCGAGCACGCTTAGGGTATACAAAGTGATTGCACGTGAAGAGTTTAGTGAAAGTGGAAAGATGGGCTTCGAAGAACAGGAGAACAATATAATGGAAACGAGCATGCCATGTTGAAATTAAGCAAAATGATGCAGCAACCTAATTGTGATCTGAGGACTAGTTTGGGGGTAGTGCAACTGTTTGAAGAAGCAACCAAGCAACAACTACAAAATAAGCTATTGCGGGTGAGACCGTGTGTCTATTTTATTAGTTCAACTGTGCATAAGATGTGTTACAATTGTTCCTGAAATATAAACTATATCACCCTTCTATACATGCGATATATGTAAGCTAATCATCTAAGAATCAACACAAAGCGACACGTATGAAATTCATAAATAGCCTGCAATGCCCAAAATTCTCTGTTTAAACCCTCCATATTTTCTCGTAATAATGTGACTTTTAGGTGTTAGATATGTAAATAAATCAAAATGGCGAGGTATGTTTTTTTTTTTAGTTAAACCCTCCATATTTTCTTACAATGCCATGCACTAGTGCGACATTTAGTTGTTAAAAATGTAAATACGTAAAAATTATGTGGTCTGTTTGAAATTATCTATTCAAGCATCTCACATTTCTTTTGACAAAAACTACGCAATAGTGTGGCATTTTTAGTGTTGGATATGCAAATGTATCATAATTATGTGGTGTGCTCAAAATGTCCTGTTTAATCCCTCTTAAATTTCTTATAATGCTATGCAATGATGGGGCATTTAGGTGTAAGAAATACAAATACGTCTGAACTATGTGATATGCCGAAAAAAAATTAAGGTATTATCAAATTCGATCCAAAGTTTTGCAATTGAATATTACGAGCAACATCAAAGGCTCAACAAAGCAAACAACGAACGACTAAGAAACCATAGCAACTTGATATCCTAAAATCTCATACACAACATCTCATAAGACTATTGCACACAAAATCACCAAAAATGAAACATATGTAAGGTCACATGAAGACAAACGATAAAGCAAGCTCACTCGTAGAGAGATAGGGAACAAAAAATACAAATATTGATGCACCTCAACTGTAGCGATGCATAAAATCGAAGATTAACCAAGATAAAATGAGCCATAAACACACAAAGAAGACATAAAAATAGAAAGTATGATGCTCTATTAAGGTCTATCGTGGATATAATACATCCTATTCAAATTAGCAAACGGGTAAAGCTTGAAATAAATTTTGACAATACCATGCAACGTAGCTCACCGAGGAACGGGAGAATAAGTCGAATGCACTGACGTGCCAAACACCCCAAATAGTATGATGGTGCCATCTTGGCACCCCTGCCACTAACCACACCAGAGGGGTTGTTAATTGGGTTGCAAGTAAGATTTAGTTTAAATAAGACTTAGTAAATCTTGCAAATCAAAATTTATTAAATTATGTGGTAGTTAGATCCTGAAACCCGTTTGATATGTTATTAAATAAATTTTGATAAATCAAAAAAAACTATTTGACAGCTTTACAAGAATTTAACATAAATTTATCAAGATTTATTGAACAACCAAAGATAATTATTAAATAAAAAAGATATAAACGAGCATGAAAAGTCTCAAAATATGTAAAAAAACATTTACACTAATTAATCATTAGTTATATAAATTGATAATTATTTTTAAAACTAATTACTTTTTAATCAATAAATTAACATTAATCAATTATTAATTATGTAAATTTAAAATTATTTAGAATTTTATTAAATAATTTAAAATTTAAAATTTTTGTTATTTATTAATTAAATATTAGACAATTACATATAAATTTATCTAATTATAATTAATTTGATAATATATAAATTATTTATTATTTATTAATAAATTAAAAAAAATATAAGTTAAATAAACTTATCTTCCTATTCCTTTGCCCTCACATCCTCCCCTTCTTCTGATTTTGCCCAAAAGTTTCCATCTCAGCCCAAAACTTTTGCTTATGTCACTCCCTTAGCTAGTTTCACCCAAAACTATTGCTTTCTTGAACGAACGTTCACCATATAGTTGCCATTAGTGCCGGTTGGTAAGTAAATGAGGGGATCGCACTTATCGAGAACCAAAACTCATTTCTTTCGTATTTCTTATCCTTCCTCTCTGCTCCCAGATATCAATGAAGAAGATAAGCCTTTTCGTGCCATTTTTTCTCTTGGTTCCTCCCAAATTTACTAAATCCATCGATTCACAAGAACTGTTTTGACTGTAAGTGGGATTTAGATAAAATATGATTTAATAAATTTTGTAAATTCAGATTTATCAAATCCCGAGCTGATTAAATCTTTAAAACAGTTTGATATGCTAGTAAGTAAATAATGACTAATCATAAGAGACAGTATGACAATTTTAGAATGATATAACATGATTTATCAAATGAAATATATAATGATAAATATTAAATTAAAAAGAAATGAATATTCAAAGGCTCAAAGTACATAGAAAACAAGCATTTACTTTAACTAATAATTAATTATGTAAAATAATAATAAAAAATTTTGTGCAAGTGAATTAGTAATTAAATAATATTTTTACATTAATCAATAATTATATAAAATAAGAATTACTTAAAATTTTATAAAATAATTAAAAATTTAATATATATATATTTATTCATCAATTAAATATTAAATAATTACTGATAAATTATCTTATTATTGTTAATTGAATAAGCTACACAAACAATAAAATTTGGTTGCGATGTTTGTAAGAAGTTATATTTATAATGACGTGTATGTAAGTCTAATTAAAGCCCAGAACTATATCTCCCCCCTTCACTCTCATTCTCTAAATCCTCGCTTAAGTCTCTCCCCCCTCGCCCGGTTTGGCCTAAAACGATTGCATTCATCATCGGACTCTTGCGATTCAGTCACGTTTAGAGCCACTGGGAAGGCGACAACGGGATCGCGGCGAACAAAGACCTACGATACTACCATTTTTCTCCTCATTCCACTCCGCTCCTACCCGAAACAATCCAGTAAGGTAACTCTCGTTATTCTTCATTCGCGCCCTTTAGCTTCTCTAAATCCCTTAAATCCGTATTTCAACTGGATCCGCTACATCCTAGGTTTATGGCAAAACTGGAGCAAAACGGGATTTAAGAACCTGCATTTAAAGATGTATTTTTTGCTGTTTGGCAGGGTTTAGGTTAAATCCTGCTAACAAACAGGCCCTTAATATAATCAAGACGGGAAAATATATATTTGTGGTTATTAAGCAATTCAAACAAAGCAGTGAAGATGCTGCAACGAATTTGTCTTTCTTGGCCTCGATTTAGGTGTCTGATTTGCAACTGCTCAGATGACTGTTTTGAGGAAATCGCTGAAATTTCTAAGCAGGGATAAATTTGATAAACTATTTTAAAAGTTTTGCATTTTGAATTCAACTTGTGGGGCTTATGTTGCTATAGACTTGGATTTTCATAACTGCAATGGTAGATATCATATGCGCTTGCCGCCAGGATAGCCAAAAAACCTGTAAAAAAAGAGAAAAAAGAACTGAAACTTAAATGAACAAGTCAATTAATTTTAAGCTTAGTCCAGGTTCACATTGATTTAAATTTATGTGCTTTGCAAACATTGATTAAATAGATTCGGCATTCCAAAAAAAAAAAACTTAAACTAAGACGACAATGTGTGATTCATTCAATTCATTTGCCTGCTAGTGAGTCATTATCTTTATGAATGACTCATCACGAGTTTATGGCTTTCTTACTATAAAATCAAACCGGAACCAAAATGATCAATTCATCTTAAATTGGAGTGGACCAAACCAAATTAAATTGTACATGTCAGTTATTAACTTAATAACTAAGCCCCCAAATAGTTTCGTTATAATTTTCTTCTGTACTTTAATTTAGTTTCAGTTTGATTTTGATGGTTTGGTTTAATCTGGTTAAAAATAATTCAGAAATTTATAATTGCTTTTCCTCTATTTTTTAGCTATATATTTCATTTATTTTTACGATGATGCATATGGTTAGGATAAGAATAATGATGATGATGTTGGTATCGTCAAACATTCCATTATTATTATTAAATTTTGTAACACTCAAAAAAGGATGCTATAATAACAAGCTATTATGATTTTTGTTAAAGTGTCCTAAAGTTTAAATTAAAAGGGCTCCATATATCAAATGTAGCTTTTGCCTAGTTGCAGTACATTGGATGCTTGTATAAAGACAAGCAACCAATCCAAGGGAATGAGTTTTCTTATATTTATAAGACAAGTAACGAATTATCAATTCTTATTATCTGTTTTTTTGCTTACCTAAATCTCCCATTTCGACAATAATTTCTAAATTGATTGGGAGGGTCTGTTTTACTGGAGGCACTAAGCTCATAGTTAAACTTATATTAAAATCTATTGAGAATTGATTCAATATAATTGATTGAACTTGGATTGCTTTAATTGCATGGTTTATTTGTTAATTTATTTTCTATTATTGAATCTCAATGCTTTTTTTTCTTAATTTTAGGTAACAATGTAAATTTTAATGCACAAAATAAACTTCTCTAATTACAAACTACAGTGATGCTTATTAAACTATCCTAAATTAGTTACAAATGTTTTATACTATCATCCATAAATCTTTTATTCACACTTTCAATTGGAAGAGTCAACCTATGAAAAAAATTATGATTCTCAGCTCCATAATCCAAATGCTTTCCTTCAAATATAATTTACTTTTGGATCCAATGAAGTTACAAATCAATCCACTAGTTCATCAATCACCAATTGCTCTAGAACTGCAGGTGCATATAATTACTTTGATTATGTTTTTCTTGGATTCTCCATCAGGCCTTTGAAACTCTCTCAAATAGTTTATGTCTACCATGCACGGGTGTTCATAAATTTCAAATAAACCGAAGGTTGAAAACCCTTAGTGAAGTAGATGGGCTGGGCTTCAATATGTTGAATGGAAATTTTTACAAGACATATCTTTTTGATTTAAATGATTGTCAATTATTTTTAGCTTTTATGTTTGCAATTTTAGCTTATGTAATTGTTTTTTTTTGTTAAAAAAAATAATTGTTCTCTATTTTGAATCATATTTTTTCAAGCAAACAATATAGATTTATATTCCTGGTTGGTGTCTTTGATTGAAAGTCTCTTTGTTGATGTATGTTTTGTTAAGCTTACTTAATATTCATTGAAAGGCATTAATTATATTTAAGGACTTCTGAATTTTGAGAATTGAGGATCTCTATGTTGTAGATATGATCATAGATGCTTTTTATTTGGAACTCGAAGGATTTTTGAGGCTCTATATCCAAATTTTTGCAAGGGAGACTACAATGGTTAAAAAATTATTACAATTCAAGCTTATACTTTGCACCAATTTTAAAGATACTTGAAGAATTCGACCTTGCACGAAGCTTATGGAAGTTTCGTTTCTCTATCATTTGTTTATAATGAACAAAAGATTTGGGCTATGGGGTCATGTCAAATTGTCCGAAGAACCATAATTCTTATAAGTTTAATTACAAGTATTCTATTCTTTCTACTTCCATCTTGTTCTTCAATAATATTTCATTTTCATCATGTCGTTAATAATAATAAAATTTTTTATCTTTACCGTCGCATTAGTAAAAGAAGTTTAGGCTTTAAAGAAAACCAAATGTTGAAAATCAGTAGGACCTAATGAAATCCAAATAGAAGTGTGGAATTATTTAGGAGATTTAGGAGTGTCTTGACTCACTAAACTTTGTACTATTGTTTTAAACTAAAAAGGTGCTTGAAGAGTGGAGGAAGAATATTTTGATTCACTTTTTTAAGAAAAAACAAATGCACGAGAGTGCGCAATTTATAGAGGAATTAAACTAATGTGTCTTAAATTAAAATTTTGAGAGAGAGCAATTGAACATAGGTTAAGACGTGATACTTCTCATAATCAATTTGGATTTATGCTGGGCAAGTCTACTATGAAAGCTATGCATTTATTGAGAGGTTTGACGAAGCATAGAGAGAGTAAGAAGGATCTAGATAAGATTTTTATTGATTTAGAAAAAGTTCACAATAAGGTTTCAATAGAAGTTCTTTGGAGAGTTCTAGAAAAGAAATGTGTGGACATGAAATATATTTAAGTCATTAAAGATATGTATTCTAGAGTTGTTAGTTGTGTTTGAACAGGAGGATTGACCAAATATTTCACTATTTTAGTTTGATTACATCAGGGATCGGCCTTAAGCCCATATCGATTTGTTTTAGTTATGGATGTTCTTATTGGACATTTATAGGAGGATGTGCCTTGGTGTATGGTTTTAACTGATGATATCCTTCTTGCGGATAATACTAGATAAAAAGTTTAGGTAAACCTTGAATTATGAAGGTCTACATCAGAGTCTAAGGGCATTCGTTTGAGTTGATCTAAAACTGAATACATGTAATGTAATTTTAGTAGTATTAGATATAGTGACAGTTGTAATCATGGGTGATCAAATCATTAAATGAGGTGAACATTTTTGATATCTTAGGTCTATTGTTCAAAGTGATGTTGATAAAATTGGGGATATTATTAGTAGAATTCAAATAGGATGGTTGAAGTAGGGGAATGCGTTTGGCCAATTGTGGGATAGAAGGTAGTGCATAGATTTAAAGAAAAAAAATTATTAGATGGTGGTGAAACTTGCAATGTTTTATGACACAAAATTCTGGCCTTTAAAAGATACACATAAAACTAAGTTAATTGTTGCTAAGATGAGAATGCTTAGGTGGACAAATAGAGATAAAATGCAAATGAATGCATTCGTGAAATGGGTGGTGTAATTCCAGTGGCAAAAAAAGATTAGAGAGAGTCATCTTAGATAGATGGTTTGGTCACATTAAATGGCTACCATATGATGATCCGACTAGGAGAGTAAATGTTCTAGATTTGACTTATGTTAAGAAGGGTAGGGGTACACCTAAAAAGACTTGGGTTGTATAAAATTTGATGGTAATTTATTAGAATTAAATGAAAATTTGACTCTCAACAGGACATAATAGAGAAACTATTGTTGTTGTTGTATATTATGATTTATGATTCAATAAGTACAGAGATGAACATTAAAAGTGATTGGGGGTTTCATCCATATTCCAATATTTTTCTTCCATATTATATGTTTTTAACCCCTCATTTAGTGCTTAATTACATATCATATGTCAACATCAAATTGATTGGGAGAGTCTTTTTTTAGAATCACTAGGCTAATAAGCATACAATTTACCGAGAGTCAAGTTAGCATAATTTATTGAGCTTGGTTTTGTTTTAACTATATGCTTTATGTATTAATTTAAATTTTGGTTTCACATTGCCCTTTTTGTTCATCTACATATTGGTTAGATGAATATGAAGTCTTACTCAGCATCAACCCCTATTTTCATCATGCTTAGTAGTGCGCACGTTGAATATACCATGGTAAGCTCCTACCTTTAGTAACAATAACTAATCAATAAAAATTTAACCTATTTATAATATTCTAAGGTTAGAAGTTAGAGTATAGTTCTTTCAATTGCTTCATTTAAGTTTATTTCCGCCTTTCTAAAAATATCTTTAGGAAGGTCACTCATGCTATTCTAATAATACTTATTCTTTCAATTATTTTTTCCTTTGATGGATTTTAATTAATGGTAGCCTATGCTAGAATTTCTAACATATCCTACATTCAGAAAAAGAGAACTAGTGCTCTTTTATGCTAAAGTGCTGGAAGGATTTATACCAAGCATTCAAATAGTGTTAACATTTGCTAAAGAAAAATAATTGTTGCATAATAGATCCAAATTATATGCATGCCTCTGTCCAGCATATTCTGCTCTGCATTAAGCATAAGATATTCTGCTCTTTTATGCTCTGCATTAAGCATAAGTCTTATTTTTTTCCCTTATTGATTTTTTATTCCTGTAAGTGGCACTCGATCGACATGTAATTAATCTAGTATTTTTGAAAAGATCCCCTAAATGGAGGAAATCTAGATGCGCAAAGTTTCATAAATATGTGACCTTGGTCACGAACCTGACCCCTTCATATTTTTTTATTCATTATCATTCATTCTCCCGTATTTCCTTTTATTTTGAACCAAACTTTTTTTGCTGCTGTTTAATTGATTTCTCAGCCATAACCAATAAATTCTATTGCTGTAGCCTCCATAGCTTTTTTTCTGTTGCCTTTTTTTCCCTCTAGAGCTCATGCTCGCGGGAAGTGCTTCTGAGTCAATTTGTTGATTGTGCTTGTATGTGTTTTTGCATTGTGTTTTCAATTATCCAAAACTCAGTAGTATTCACAGTGCCTGGGGTTCATATTCGAGTAGTTAGATTTGTATTCTAGGATTAGATAGCGGTTATTTGCAATGTTCTTTGCTTCTATGAGAATTCTTTAATTATCTAAATGATCGACTCACATTCGATAGCATTTTAAATGGATGAATTGTAGTTAGTATAAGGTTATTTAATCAAGGAGTAAACAAGCTTATTCTATTTTCTTGTTTGCAAAATTTTAAAATTTTAATGATTATTTTTATGCAGTAAAGTCATTCATCTCTGGCTTAAGGATGACAGTTAGATGGCCATTTTTCTTATAATAAATTAGACGCTACCAAGAACTTTAATCATTTTATATTAATTTTTGTTGCTAATTTATATAGAATTTTCTTTTGATTTTTGTTATATATGTAATAGAATGTATAAAAAATAATCAAGTTATTCTAATAGTGCTGGGCTTTACTCACAGGAGGAATGGAGCAGCCAGAAGAAGAAGGCCATACTGTTGGGGAACATCATAACAAACATGATGATGATGTAAGTTTATTTATTGTGTTTTAGTAAACTCTTTGACTGAAGCGGGATGTTATGGAATTTTTATTTTTATTTTGCTGTAAGTTTAATGGAAACTGATGTCAAGCTGATAATTGGTTGATAAAATCTATTCCTGCTACTTTCCTTGAGTTTTGTTTTGATAAGCCACTGTATATAACTCATAAAATCTTGATAAAAATGAAGTCTTATTCTGGAAACAGTGAAGCTGCAAATTTTTTAAGTTTAAAAGCGTGTTTGGCCAATGCATGAAGCTTCATTTCATGGTTCGTGGGGGGTTGATGTACAGAAGTAACACATCCTTGTCACTTCCGTGATATATGAAAGGTTTTCTTGCTGACTGATTTATGAAAATGGTTTTTGATAACAAGGATATTTCACTGGGCTGCACTGAAGTAAATACATGAACAATGTTAGAATGAATCAATAGGTCGCAATGATTTGCATTCACCTGATCAAAATACACCATTTAGCTCCTGGTTTCTGCTAATTTTTTGTAGCACTGCTAATTTTTTGTAGCAAAAGCAAATTTTTTTTTTTTTTGTGCATTCTCCGCCTTAGCAGCCTTAGCTTTATTAGTTACGGATTTTTTTTTTATACTCTTTTTGTCATTATTGTCTCTGTATAGTTTCAGTATGGCTTTCTGCTAAAATTTGGGAAAAAAAAACCTTTTAATACTGTCTATTCCTACCATACTCGAGCGCTCAACTTTTTTGTCGTGATCTTGATATAGTTTTCCTTCTTGCTTGTCCAGTACTTTCCTTCACTGATATTTTACCCGAAAAACAAGCTTGTGTTATCCCCTTGACTTTTTGTAAAATAGTTACTCTTTATTTATTCCATATCTTTTTGCCGCTAAAGCATCTTAGTATCCTCATTTTGCCACACTGAACTAATTTATTTTCTTCCTCATTGCTGAATGGTCATATTCATAGAAAAAGCTATAATCAGTATTCCATAGATCCATTATGATAAACTCTACCTTCTATGGTTTATCCGATTGGTACTATTTGAACTGATTTTTATGTCCAACTAATATTTCACCAGATACTAGTTTTGATTTTAAGTAGACAACAAATTAATCTGCATTACTTCTTTTTAAGATTATGTTTTTCCTTTTTGATTTTATTTCTTATCTGTTTTGCTGAGATTAATGGTTATCATATCTTCTGTGTGGAATCAAATATTGATGATAATTTTAAGTGCCTTAAAGTTGGACTGAACTTCTTTGTTGCTTTCTTTCAAATTTAATTCCCTACCGTATACTCTATTCTCATTTGAGTTCCATTATGTTTTTTGTGCCCATAAATCTTTATTGTCGTTTTGAATTGCTTATTAAGCAATTTTTCTTTATGACCAAATAAAGTCATGAATGCTACAAAGTTTGCAATCACACTTGCCAAAGCTATGTGTAAATAGGAGTTACTTTTCAGCTTCTTTTTTTGACTATCTTTCGTTCTTCATTGTGATATTCATATTTTATTTGATAAAATTTTAGTATCTTTTCTTGTGTTGTAGGAAAATGTTTCTCGCACTGAATACAAACGATCCATTGACATGAAAGTTTCTCTTCGTCAGAGCAATCTGAACCCAGAAAGACCCGGTGCGTATGCTAACATCTTTTACTGCTATGTCTCCTCAATAATTGGTTTTCTGCTCCACCAAGAATTAGATATTTTAGGTTGCTGAAGATCCCTTTTTTAGCATCAGTGGCTTTTAGAAGCTTTTGGATGAGCTTTATCTAATCTACTTTTAAGCTGGAAGAAAACTATCTATGGATGTATGCATCTGTTTCCCTTTTAGTATGTGACTGCATTACAGTTAAATAACTATAAGAAAGCCTCTCGTTCGCTCGTGTTCCTGCAAAGTATAATTAGTACAATTAAACTAACATGTTATATATAAATATTTTTGGATTACATTTTGCGGTTTGCTGAATTAGATATTGTAACAACTGCTGTTTTCTCTTATTTTCATTGAAATATCTCATAAAATGCTGCTCATAATTGATTTTGTAAATATATCATGCTGTCCTTATTAATTGTGGGCTATATTGATGTAATGTTTTCCAGATTCAGGTTTTCTTAGGACACTAGACTCTAGTATCAAGCGCAACACAGCAGTAATTAAGAAGCTTAAGCAGATAAACGATGAGCAGCGGGAAGGTCTAATTGAGGAGTTACGAAGTGTGAACCTAAGTAAATTTGTTAGTGAAGCTGTGGCAGCTATTTGTGATGCTAAGCTTAAGACCTCAGATATACAAGCTGCTGTCCAGGTATAGGCTCTATGAAGTTTATCGTTATACATTTATCTTGTTAAACTTCGTTTATATATCTTCAAGTTTTCAAATACTAAATTAAATACATGAACTAAAGTTTGCCAAAGTCTTGTTTTTAAACCTACACCTCTATTTCGAACTGTCTGATATCCCATAAAAACATAGTGTGCTCAATATGATGAACTAAAGCCACAAAATGGGAACATATCTCCTCTTTGGTTGTAGAGCTCCACTTTAAAATGAAACTTTTTCTGAATTTTAAAATTTTAATTAGTTTATTAAAAGGAGATATTTAGTAATTAACATGAAATAATGGTGAAATTACACTACTCAAATGTATGAGATATTTAATATAATGTATATATATCTTTTACTATTCTAGTTATTGCATATCTTATTAAATAGAAAGAATTAATATTATAATGGATGTACCTTCATCTAAATTTATCATTTGGCATGAATCACCAGGCATTTGACATGAATCTCGAGTCATTTTTTTAGTAAGAAATATTTTGATTCAAATTAAAGTTCATCCATAGTTACAATTTCAACAAAAGTGTAGTCAAATTGACCAACTCAATGAAATGAACCCAATTATACTAAAATTGATCCAATTCAAGTCCAATTGTCCCCGCTTGAAGATGTTAAACCACTTTTGGAGGCTTTGGTTGGTTGTTTGGGAATCAAATGCACTCCAAATTTGACATACTTATAATCAAATCAAGTTTTTCGACAAGAGGAATATACTGAGCCCAAGATCACCTGATTTTGAGGTCATTAAGGCCACCAAATGATCAAAATATCTTCTATTATCAAGGGGAATTAGCGCGGGCTTCTCGATCGGGTGGTTATGATGGTTATTCACTCGAGGATAAAAATGCCTCTCTTTCAAGCCTATATAGACTCATTAATCCTTCTATTTTTTTAATGAATAATTAATTAAGAAAACTTAATTCTTGATGTAATAAAAAATAATATATGTTTATTTTTATACATTTTGATTATTTTTAAATCAATTTTAATTTGTTTTTTTGAAGTATATCAAAAGTGTTGTCAAATGAGTTCTTTGTTTTTAAAAGTTAGTGCTATTAAATTTCTTATTTTCTTATTTGCATTATTTTTAAAATATATAAAGTTAGTGTTTGCATTATTTTCTTAAAAGTATAGAAGGTGTGAAATTTGATATTTGAAATTGATGGCTAATATTGTCAAATTAATATTGTCCAAGGTCATATTTTCACTTGATTGGAGTTTGTTGCTATTGCAAATTATTATGAGATCATTTATTTATATTCTCTTTATATTCATATATCTTGGCAAATATTAAAATGTAAATTGGATAGAAAGGGTGAGTAGAAGTAGCTCATATTCATTGATTATGAGAGCGATGTTAGATATGATAGTTTTTCCTCAAGTAATAAGAGGTCAAATTTTGACCAATTTACATCATTATGGTCTAAAGATAAAGTAGCTCAATATGTAGAAGATTAAAAATTATTAATATCTAAAATGAGCCCTGGTTCAAAATTAAAGTAACTCAACTTGTAGCTGATAAAAAAATCTCAATTCTTTAATTGAACTCTAGGACTATTTGACAGCCATATTTAGTCAGGATTTACACAGGTTTTAGTGTAAATCCTGTCAAACATTGGAAATGTACATTTTTGCTTAAGTCCGTACCTTACTATAAGATTTAGAGCTTTTAATGAGTAGAAAGTTACAAGTAGGGATAAAAACTTAAGAAAACATCATACTCGTCAATGCCTTTGCTTACAAGCGCCCATCCCATTGCGACTTTCTTTCTTCTTTTTCTTTTTTATCAAGGGTTTCAAGTTGAAGCGAAGGGTGAGAAAGACGAGGGCTTGAGATGTCTTTGCTAGAAAGCTTCTGTTGTGACTTTTAAGTTTTGTTTTGGACGAGGTTTTTGTTTAGGAGTGGGCAGGTGCCAGTTTTATGTTTTGCTTTATGATTGTAATTTTTCTTAGGGGAGGGGTGGATGGGGGAGGTAATTATAATTATTGAATTAATTTTAATAATAAAAATTAATTAATAATTATTTGTTAACTTAAAGAAATTATTATTCTTTGTGATTTAATTAGATTAAATGAATTTTTTATTTTTAATAAAAAATTTAAAGTATTGAACAACGATAGATTGAGATATCATTTTATGTGAACTTAGGCAGGAGACGATGGGGGAAATAAGGAAGGTTAATAATTAATTGAAATTATTAATATTTATGAGTAAATTTATTTCCATTAAAATTAATACATGTACTCAGTTTAATAAAATGTTAATCCATGAGTATTTATAATATTATCTAATGTTACTTATGATTTAATTGTCTTTAAAAATTACTAATTAATATCATTAATAATCAATACAATAAATTAGATAAAAATATATATTTAATATATTAAATTGACCCTAATTAATATTAATTAATAAAAAAATCTTCAATGAAAGACATTATTTGTCGTTTACTGAGTAGAAGTTATTCTGTTGAATAATGTTAGTAATTTGCTAATTGGTAAATAATTGGATTATTTTTTATACTAATTTTATCATCAATAATTAATATTAAAATCCTGTTGAAAGCAGAGATAAATCCTAAAATATGCCGCCAAATATTTTATCAAAATTTAAACTGATTTAACATCTAACTTGCCAACAGTTTATCAGGATTTAAATGTTTTAGGATTTATGAAATCTTGATTTACACGACTTATTAACTCCTACTTGAGTTATATCTTATTTGCCGCCAAGCAACCAACTAGTATTGTAAATTGCTTCCTGCAGTAACGCTTTAGAACTACTTTATGTTTCAAATACTTTTGAATTAGATGCAGTGCGGCTCAAAGTCATTACAAATAGTTCTTGCATGTTTACCAACGTGGATGCATAAATATTTATAGTTTCATGTCCCCTTTTGTGTAGGCATGCTCGTTGCTTCATCAAAGATATAAGGATTTCTCCCCTAGCTTGATTCAGGGTCTCCTGAAAGTTTTTTCCCCTGGAAAAAGTGTTGATGATTTGGAGGCTGATAAAAACCTGAAAGCGATGAAGAAGAGGAGCACTCTGAGACTTCTTATTGAACTTTTTTTTGTTGGAGTTGTGGAGGATGCCAGCATTTTTGTGAACATTATTAAAGATCTTACAGGCTTAGAGCAATTGAAGGACCGTGATGCAACTCAGACAAACTTGTCCCTTCTTACTAGCTTTGCTCGACAAGGAAGATTCTTCTTGGGTGTGCATCAGCCTGGTCAAGAAGTTGATGAGGAGGTATTATCTCGCCATTTTTATATTTGTATGTTTGTGTTTTTTGCGTGTTTTACTCATTTTGAAGCTTTCTATATTTGTGCCTGTTGCTTCCTTTTTTCTTTATTTCTTTTAGAACCTCCTCTTTTGAACCCATGTAATCCTTTAGTTTCCACAGGGTGATTTACTCATGCCTCAAGTGTTGTGCCATGAGAAATGAATAACCTCATCCATTATCCTTGTTAATTATCTGCTTTGCTATTTAAGTTCCATAATAGAATATTTAATGCATGATTTTTTGCTTTGAAATCAATGATCTATGCTTCATTTTTCTTTCCATTTGGATGTTTTATTTTGGAGAACTTTTTTCTGAATTGTTTATGTACATCATAAGGAATGGCTTGTCAGTGTTTCTGCTGGAGTATATTTAGCTATTCTGACGTTTACTGTTTAGTTTTGATAATACGTTAATTGATTTTTCTGTCCATTGGAGGCGCTCTTCATTTGAATCATGCAAGGAAACCTTATTATTTTTTTGACTTTTCTGATTTAATTTAGTCTAAGAATTATCGAAGGAAATTTTTTCTTGTCTTGTGCTGCTAAAATGTTCAATAGTATTTTTCTCGGTTATCAATTTTAAGCAGGACCTTCCATGTGTCTCTCTATGCATTTGGCTTCTTGTGTCGTTATCTTTGTGTTTGCCAAGTACTTTATTCTTCTTAAATATTAAAAATATATATTTATACTGAAAATTTTTTTGTCATCCTCTTAAATATTAAGGCTAATGTGTTGCATATACTATAGTTCTATAAAGGACTCAATGTCACGGTGGAGCAAAAAAAGCAATTCAAGAAAGCATTGCACGCATATTATGATGCTGTCACTGAGCTGCTGCAGGTGGAACATAATGTAAGCTTTATTGCATATTGGCTTGTTGTTATGGTATTGTCTATTCATGATCAGTGGATTTTACCTTTAGGTCATTTTTTCATTTTAATTTATTCAACACAATCTTAGTGCTTTATTTTTCTTGTTTTGATATTTCATTTTAATGTTTATTTGGTGTTTCTGTCCTTGTCAGTCACTTAGGCTGATGGAGCTTGACAATGCAAAGATGTTAAATGCTCGAGGGGAGCTTAGTGAAGATAGTGTGACTGCATATGAAAAGCTTCGTAAATCTTATGATCAATTATTTCGTGGTGTTTCTTCGTACGCTTCTTTGACAAGTTTTTATCTTTAACTTTGGTGTAGTTTATATTTAGTAGTTTGTCATGAATGATTTTACTTTTACAAATTTCTCTTTTTTGGATTGCAGTTTCTTGATGCTTCTTTTAAGTTCTTATGAGTTTGTGCAGTTCTAGATGAATGTGTTGTTTTCTTACTCTATGTTTGGTTATTTGTGAATGTGACCCTTTGTTTGGTTATTTACTAGTCATTTTATGCAATTTAATGAAGATATTAAGAGCGGTATGATTCAGAGGGTGATGCGTAGATATAATAACAGAACGAGTGTTGTGAATAGATGGATTTGAAGCTCTTTGAGCATGGGCTTGGGAATGCTTCTTTGGGTATAGCTGGTAGAGGTGTTCTAGATGAAGCACTACCTCTCAAAAGCTATCATAATCTTATTTTTTTAATATTTCAATTGTTAAAAAATACAGAGATAAAAATTTACTCTTAAGCAAGATGGTTGTAGTTAATGAAGCCCAAGGTTCATCAGTTTCCAATAAAAGTTGATTCCATATTAAATTAAATGGCCTACACAATGGTAAATTTTGGGTCAGTTTTTTTTTTCTTTTTTGAAAAGCATTTACTGATTTGTTGTCACAATAATAAATTATTGAAGTTGATATGAATTCTTTTGATCATTTTGTAAGTGCTAAGACGTTCCCCGTAAGCGACGCGCTGTATAATCTGAATACAGTGAAAAGTGTGCAAGGGCCGCTACATCGATGCTCGGGTGTAGTGTCAAATAAGCAAGGGATTACGGACGGACGAATGCGGGTAAAGAAGTTAGTTCATGAAACTAATGAAACTAATATTATGATAGAATCTTGGAATATAGGTACTTTCAATGGTATAATGAAATTAATTGATATTATGATTCATAGGAAAATTAATATCTTATGTATTCAAGAAACTAAATGGGTTTGAGAAAACGCTAAGAAGATTGATAATTTATGTTTTAAACTTTGCTATTTTGGTAAGATTCGCATTATAAATGATGTATGTGTAATTATAGATAAGAGTTTGAAAGATAATATTGTAAAAATTAATGAAGTTGGAGATATAATTATAATCTTTAAGATTATTATTGATACTAAGATTTTTAATATTATAAGTGCTTATGCTCCTAAGTAGGTTTAGATGTAGGGTCTAAAGATAAATTTTGGAATGACTTAGAAGACTTAATACAAATGATACTTCTTGAAGAAAAAATTTTTATTGGAGGATATTCAAATGGACATGTTGTTAGAGTGGTACAAGATTTCAGAAATACTCATGATGACTACGGTTTTGGAGTAACTAGTGAATAAGGTAGAGCTATTTTAGATTTTGCTTCAGCGTATTATTTTGTTATTATTAATATTTTTTTCAATAAAATAGATGAGTATTTTATTACTTATAGGAGTGGATCTAATAAAACACAAATTGATTATTTTTTTATGTTGATTATTTTTACAAATTGATTATTTTTTTATGAGAAGAAGAGATCGTCGAAATTGTAAAGATTGTAAGGTCATTCCAAATGAGTATTTAAGTACCCAACACCATTTATTTGTGTCCAAGATTTTAAGATGAAGACTTATAAAGTAAAGAATACTTGGACTTATCGTCTTATAATTAGATGAGAACCTAAAAGATACAAATAATTTTTTTATGAGTAAAATTCAATATTTCAAAATTTGAGATGTTCATGAAGAAACAAATATTATGTGGGATAAAGTAACAAACACTATTGAACAAGTAACAAAAGATGTGTTTGGAGAATCAAAAGAAAAAAAATTATAAATAAAAATAGTTGGTGATGGAATAATAATGTGCAAGAAAAGATAAAATATAAGAAGTTATGTTATAAAAATTAGTTTAAATGTAAAAGCTTACAGAACTGAAAAAAATATCAAACGACCCTCATGGTCTAAATGAACAATCTGTGACGCTAAAAATTCTGTTTTTAACGATGTTTATAATAGATTAGATACTAAGGAGGGTGAAAAATATATGTATAAACTAGTCAAACAAAGATAAAAGAAAAATAAAGATTTAACTCAAGTAAAGTGTATTAAAAATGAAAATAAAAAAGTGCTTTTCTTAGAAAAAGATATTCAACATAGGTGGGTGAGTTATTTTGATAAAATTTTTAATGAAATTTCTAAAAATGCGATTGACCTTAGTGATCTTAATATCGTGAATAATAATAAAACGTTTCATTTTTAACGTCGCATTAGTAAAAAAGAAGTTGAGGAGGCTTTAAAGAAAACCAAGGGTGGAAAGTCTGTAGGACCTGATGATATCCCAATTAAAGTTTGGAAATATATAGGAGATTTGAGAGTTTCTTGGCTTATGAAACTCCTAAATATTATTTTAAAAACTAAAAAAATGTCTGAGGAGTGGAGGAAGAGTATTTTGCTCCCCATTTAGTATTTTGGAGGAAGAGTATTTTGCTCCCCATTTTTAAGAATAAAGGGGATGCACAAGGGTGTGCAAATTATAGAGGAATTAAGTTGATGTGTGATACTTGGAGAGGGTAATTACAAAGATTTCTCAATACAATTTAAATTTATGCCGAGGTTTGATGGAGAAATTCAGAGATAATAATGTAATCTACATTTAATTTTTATTGATTTAGAAAAAAACTTACGATAAGGTTCCAAGAGATATCCTTTGGAGAGTTCTTGATAAGAAAGGTGATATTCAAGTCATTAATGATATGTAGACTAGAGCTATTACTTGTGTTCGAACTGAAGGATGAAGGAGGATTGACCTTCATATTTATGTTGGATTACATCAGGGATCGACTTTAAGCCCATATCTTTTTGCTTTAGTTATGGATGGTCTTATTATGGATGGTCTTACTGGAAGGATGGTCTTACTGGAAATTTATAGGAGGATATACCTTGGTGTATGCTTTTTTGCTAATGATATCCTTCTCTTGTATAAGATGAGAGAAAAAGTCCATGAAAAACTTGTATTATGGAGGTCTACATTGGAGTTTAAAGGCCTTCATTTAAGTAGAACTAAAACTGAATACATGAAATACAATTTTAGTAGTAGTAACTCTAGTGACAGAAGTGTGATTTTGGGTGATCAAATTATTAAAAGGTGCGAGCGATTTATATATCTTTGGTCTGTTGTTCAAAGCGATGGTGATATAGATTGGGATGTTAATAATAGAATTCAACTTGGTTGGTTGAAGTGGAGGAATGCTCCTGGCCTTTTGTGTGATAGAAAAGTTCCGTTTAGACTGAAAGGAAAATTTTATAAGGTGGTGAGACCTGTAATGCTCTATGGCGCTGAATGTTGGCCTTTAAAAGAGAAGCATAATAATAAGTTTAAGTGATGTCGTGATGACAATGGTTAGGTGGACGAGTGGCTTTACACATAGAGATAAAATGCGAAATGAATATATCTGTGATAGGGTTGGTGTCGCTTCTGTGACAAACAAAATTAGAGAAACTCGTCTTAGATGGTTTGGTCACGTTAAACGTCGACCATCTGATGATCCAATTAAGAGATCCAATTAAATCTGATGATCCAATTAAGAGAGTAGATGTTTTAGATTCGACTATGTTAAGAAAGGCAGAGGTAGACCTTGGAAGACTTGGGCTTATTGTTTAAAAAAAGGTCTTAATTTACTAGACTAAATGAAAATATGACACTAAATAGAACGCAATGGAGAAAAAAGATTCCTGTAGCCGACCGCACGTAGTGGGATTAAGGCTTTTTTGTTGTTGCTTGGTATGTTAGGCACTCGAGCAAATTGTTATCACAAAAGCACTCTGGATGTTTATGTGGAATGAAGCAGATATTGTCATTCAGGTGCATTAAATTCATCACTACTAGTTTCCCAGATTGATTGGAGTGAGATAAATTTGGATGTATTTATTAATAAATCCCTTCGAATAATTATTTCCATGTAAGGGCATTACATATTACCTGAAGCTCCTGCCATTGTAGAGTATGGGACAGATTGCATGGCTTTACCCTGCATTTGCCGAGAGTTTATTTCCACTATGATATGTTGCTATTAATTTATTTATGTAGTTATTTTTTTCTGTAATTTTTTTTTTATTTTTAAATCTCATTTTATGTTTAGCCTCTTCCAGATTTGAATACACGCATATCCCTCTTATTTGGACTGCCTTGCTTTGAAGAAGATAATATGATATGTTAATGAAAATTTTTTGTTTTTCTTTAATGCATGTTAGTGTCTATTAGTAATATCTGTATAATCTGATATAATGCCATATAGGAGAGTTTTGATTGCGCACCAATGAAAATTGACTCTGTAATGATGGTACTTCTATATGTTAGTCTTGGTTCTTTGGGACTAGTTCTAGACGTTTAGTGAGGATTTTAGATAATTTGAGTGAAATATGACAATGGTTTGGTGTTCATTTTTGGATGTTTGAGTATATACATGCAGTATAATCTGTCCTTTGTTATGCAAGAATATTTTCCATTCAGTGAATTTTGTATGTTAGGATTTTTAAATTTATAAAATCCAACATCATGACCCAAAATTCATAAAATTAAATGACCAAGATCTTTGAATTTATGATTTTCACATACCCATAAATGAGATATACATACCTGTATTCATGATCATAGAATTCAATTTGAAGAGATAAAATTTTTCTCTCTAATCCTTATTACTTTTTGTACTTTTCGATGGAGATAAAATATACATTTCTTCTTCTAGGGAGAGAGATGGCCCTTCTCTTATGTATAAGAGAAAAGATAAGTCTCTTGGGAAGAGACACAACCTTTCTCTTAATTATCCATTAATTATCCTCTTAATTATCCATTATTAACCACCATCCATCATGGTGATTATTGACCAATAAGATTTAAGATAATTTAATTAATTAATTAAAACAAAAGGATATGATGTCTTTTGGGAAGAGACATGACATTTCATTTAGGATAATTGAATTAATTAAAGCGGAAGGATGCGGTGTCTATTGGGAAGAGACATGACTCTCTTTTTTTTAGTTAATTAATTACTATTAAAATAAATGACAGTGGGCCACATAAATAAAATGATGAAAAACTAACATTGTAATTTATAAGTTGCATAAAAAATAATAACTTTATTTGTGATCGTTGCTTTATCCACTGGGTTGGTGGTCTAGGATTCCTCTATCAATTTCTTCTTTCTCTCTGTATATTTTCATTTTTTCTATGTCCATACATTTGTCCTATTCTTCCTCAAAACTTCTTCTCGGACTAGAATTCTGCAAACAATCCTATAATGCTTACTAACCAGAATTCTTTTTCTTCTCTAGTTGTCATAAATATCACTATTAATTTGCACTGTCAGCTAAGTTTTTACATTTACAGACTTGCTGAGGCCCTTGACTTGCAACCTCCATTGATGCCTGATGATGGACATACAACTAGGGTCTCTAGTGGAGCAGACAATGAGTCTTCTGCATCTGGGAAGGAGTTGATACCCGAACCTATATGGGATGATGATGATACGCGGACCTTCTATGAATCCTTGCCTGATCTCAGGTTTGTTTGTCTAGTTTAAACTCCCCCCACTTGACCTTTCACACTGATGCTTCCAACAGTGCATCACAGACATTTTCATCAAATTGTGTTCTAAGAATTTTCAAAAAAAAAAAAAAAGAAAAAAAAAGAAAAAGAAAAGATGTGTTCTAAGTGAAATTTAGTAAATTCTTTCATACCTGCTTATTATTTATTATTTATGAGCGAGCAAGCTAACTCTAATATCCCATGGTTTCCATATTTTTTTTAATGATAAAGGTGCTAAAATGGTACCCCCCACTCTTCGCAGGGGAATATTAATTACAGAATTTATAAAAAGTGCCAAATTAGTCATCATATTATTTTAATGATTCAAAATAGTCGATAGATTTTTCAAAGATTGGATTTTTTTGCCCCCCATTGAATTTCCTGGTCTGCACATAATTCACATTCATGATATAGCGTATTGAAAAATTAGAAGATAATACTTTTTAATAATATCTTATTCGTTGCTCAGATTGGTTGGAATTAGTTTTCCTTCTTATACATGGCTTGTCCGTTCAAAGCTGAGTTCTCCCTTTTGTTTGCTCGCCGAATAATTGGCCCTCAACTAACTGTGTCAAGGCCAACTATAAATCTGCATTGATTTGATTTTATTGATTTGACATTTCTTGTTTTTAACTCTTTTTTTGTTTAACTCAGAGCATTTGTTCCTGCTGTATTACTGGGAGAAGCAGAAGCAAAATTAAATGAACAAATTCAGAAAAACCAAGAGCAACAGAATGTAAGCCTTATCTCTATTTGTTTGATCTATTCAGAAAAATCAAGCTCATTAGGGTGCTTCTGAACAAAAGAAGTTATTGTATGATTCATTATCATTGTTAGGCTTATCTCTATTTGTTTGAGCTATTATTTTTTGCATAACTGCTAGGCAATTTGATCTTCCTTTCTATCCTCAATCATTTCAGACTAGTTCTATCTACTTAATTTCTCTTATACCATGGAGCCCAAACCTACCAACTATATTTTGAATTCCTCATCTTTTTGGGTGTCATACCCAATGTCTTTCTAAAATAATCATTTTTTTAACTGCATCCTAACTAGTTTAATCTTGCATCCATCTTAATTCTCTAATCATTCTACTCTCTAGTTGACTGCTTGTTACTTTTTGGCTTATGAGTGAATTTGTGCGCTTTACCAAGCGATAAATTTTTTTTAATCTAATCAAAAGTATGTTGAACACTTGAGTTGCCTCGACTTCAAATTGGCACCAACATATTTATTGAAATGTGCAAAAGTTTACCATTTTTAGTGGTTGGTGCGTTTCTCTAAGTTCGTACATATTTTATTACATTGATGGATTTATTTTTTTGCTAATTTAGGAGTTTACATTTTTTTTAAATTTTATTTATTTATTATTTTTTAAATGAACATTTCTATTTTCATATTAAGTTTGCTTGAGTGTATTTGTGCGCACATGTTCTTACGTGGTTGTAATGTATACCTGTAAATAATTTCATTTTGTTCGTATGTAGTTCATGCTATTATGTAGGCTGGTCCTACAACAAGATAGTAATCCATATGTAGAGGTGGCTTGTTTGTTTTCTTAATATTCAATTGAGTTCAGGGCATTCTAGGAGGCAAGAAGACAGTTCTACTTTTGCTCATTGGAGAACCGTTGAGGCCCATATTAGTCCATTTATGTGCTCAATTTCACATCTTGGAGTGTTTCATTTTAACTCATATTTGTACTTCTGTCCTTTTTTTTAAAAAAAATTTTTGTTACAATATTGTGTCCAAAAAGTTTGTTTGATTTTTGATGGATTTTGATAATGCTTTTGAGCTACCCTTAATAGTGCAAGGTGTGATAGGCAAAGAAATGCATGCATGTACTGTGTATGAGACATGATGTCCAAAATTTGTCCCACATCGTGTGAAAAATGATGCTTATGGGTGGCTAGGCTTCACGTCAAGAGATGTTTGCATGTGCATATATAGAAAATAGAGGCAGAATATAATTTCATCGTTATGTCAAAAAAGTCTACATGCATGCAAGGCATCGGAGTCTTTTGTAACTTTGTGCAATGATGATATCGCCATGAGTGAGTGTGTGTGTGTGTGTGAGAGAGAGAGAGAGAGAGAGAGAGAGAGAGCGCAGGATTTGAAGGCTTGGCATGGATGTGAAGCTATGCAATAGTGGAAATGGGAGAACATTTGGCTCAATTGGAGGGATGGGAGATGTGGGTAGGGGTGTAGGGTTCATTAGGAAAGTCTGTTTTTTGAAATTGGTGATAACTGAATAGCATTGAATTAGTCTTTTATCAAGGTATGTCCATCTTTGTTATCATTAAATTCAATCTAACTAATTCATGGATTATATGCCGCGGCCAACATATCTTTAAAAATCCTTTCATTTCCTATTAAAGTATTAGGTATGATGCATTATTCTCGATAAAAGATGCTACAAGAGCTCCCGCAAACCACCTTGGTAAGTATGCTTGATTTGTTTGATTGCCTAGAATTGGTTTTGTGACTATAAAGTGCAATTGTAGTATTGTGACGTAGGGAAGATATCCACAACATGTGTGTTTGGCCAATATATGTTTAGGCTCCACTTTTCCATTGAATGAAAAAACAATATTTAGGACAAGACATAATAATAATGAAGAGACTATTGAATGATTAGTAAACAAGAATTAAATGTTTTTGTTCCAACTAAGTTAATCATTTTACGAAAATATTACACCACTTTCAGCTTAACATTATTGGGGCATTATATACAATCTTAAATGTGGTAGCTCAAACAATTTAAAGTTGTTGTTTTGCAAAGGTTTCCTAGTTGAATTCTCTCACATTTTAGGATAAAAAGGGACTCTCATTTTATCTAATTGAGAAATCTTGCCAAGCAACACTGCCGTTGCCGGTCCCAAGCCCGGACGAGAAAAGTGGAGGGTTGCGTTAGGTAGTCGACAGCCAACGTAAAACTTGTCGAAAAAATCATGACATGAATCCTTTTGATCATTGTGTAAGTGCTAGGGCGTCTCCTGGAAGCGACACGCTGTATAGCCTGAATACAGTGAAAAGTGTGCAAGGGCCGCTACACCGGCGCTCGGGTGTAGTGTTAAATAAGCAAGGGTTCCCACATTACGGGCGAATGCGGGTAAAAAAGTTAGTCCATGAAACTAATGAAACTAATATTAGGATAGGATCTTGGAATATAGACACTTTCAATGGTAAATTAATGGAATTAGTTGATATTATGATTCATAGAAAAATTAATATCTTATGTATTCAAGAAACTAAGTGGGTTGGAGAAAAGACTAGGGAGATTGATGATTTAGGTTTTAAACTTTGGTATTCTGGTAATGTTTTAAATACTAAAAAGATGCCTGAGGAGAAACCTGGGGCGGCAAAGACACTTCCAGATTTAGCTTCATGGACGAAAAAGATGCAAGAATGTGTATTGATTTAGGTATTACTTGTATACGTACAGTGCTAATATTGCTTAACTTCAAATTAGCTTGCCCTATTATCTCAATTTCCCTCTCCAAACTCCAAAAACGATAACAGCAGCGTCTGTCTCCAGCATACAGGAGAAAATCAAGTAATAGTGGGAGAAGAAAAATTGCAAACTTGAAGGAATTAAGGGTAATTTACATATAAATATATATATTATTTACTCTAAACAACTAAATGTCCACCTTCTATGCTTAACCGACCATGTTTGTCAAAATAATGGATTTTATTATATCGGAATGCTGCAGTATAGCATCAGGGCCGCTACAGTACATTTAATGAAAACTCTGGGAAACTGGTTCACATGCAGATTAATTAAATAAATTTTATATATTTAAAAATTATTATCAACTTTTGTATGTCAAAATGATTGAAAGGAAATGTAGAATTTTATAAAGAAAGTATGAAAGGTTTTTATGGAAACCAAAAAAATTGGGTATGTTTTAAAATGACTTAATTTACTTTTTTTTGTAAAATTTGGGTATTACATCTATAACTGTACCTCAATAGTTTTTGGACAATGAAATTGGAATGTAATTTTAGTAGTAATAGGTTTTTTTTTTTTTTTTTTTTTTTTTGAAAAAAAGCAGCAATTCAAAAAAA